TTGTAACATGGAGGACTACATTGTGCTGGGAATGGAATAAACACTGTTTCAGTCTCTTTGAAACTTTGCAATTCCCCCCCACCCCCCCTTGCTGTCTTGTACGGTAATTGGCCTAGTAAAAGGCAGAAACAAGAATTTATTACACCTTGGGCAGTACTTAAAACAAATTTTATTCTCAGGAACAGCAGTTATGCCTACTTGCTGCTGTATATTTGATATTTCATTTAAATACTTAGTCTGAATATATTCAGTCAAATTACTAATCACTCAATTTCCCTGTTACTGTCCTGGTTCCCCAGGTGGCCTTTTATGATACTCCGTGTAAACACTGTGTTTGGAAAGATACATAGATCAGCATCCCTAGAGCCACATGATCACCATCAATCTGTGAAAATAGCATGACTCAAAAATAAGTCTCTTAGTACTCTGCCAACAGGCTTTGGCATAATCTTGGCAATCGTTTAGATCTTTCTTTCTTTCTTTCTTTTTTTCTTTCTTTCTTTCTTTTTTTTTTCTGTTATTTTTTTTCCCAAATGGAAATAGTCTCATATTTTGCAGAAATTGTCCAAGCTAGTGAACATCAATCCATCTTCCTGGGTACTAAATTCATCAGTTGAATGTGTTCAGTCCACACAGAAATCAGTAAAGTGAGTGTGAAACTGCTTGGTGGCTGCTTCTTTCATCTTAAGAAACTGCAATACAAATTCCTGAAATCGTTTATGCAGGAATTTTTATTCTTTAAATCTTCCAGTGTTAAAGCAACAAGAAAACATTTAGAATGTCCTTTGGTGGAATCTTATTACACTTGTTATACATGTAAACTGATATTTCTTTGATGCCAGCACGGTCGTTGCCCTTACAGAGAAATCTCTGCACAATGAAACGAAACAGAACAAAAGAGGACAAAATTAAATGTCAGTCTTTGCTGATTTGAATTAGATACGTTAACAGATTGTCTGGTAACACAAATTGGCAATAATACAAAAATCTACATATTACAGTATTTCAAGAAAAATAACTTCATTTGAATACAAAAGGATAGATACACTTTCTTTTTTCTTATAGCCACTCTTGTATAGTGGGTGTGAGCACACACTGGTGACTCAGTGCTGCTATTACAGGGGTACGACTGGCTTGCGCTTTGCGGGGGCTTTTACACATGTGCATCACTAACATCAGACAAAGAAATCTTTCAACCAACAGGGGTTACAGAGCAACGTTCACTAAAGCACAGGTCGGGAGGGATTCGGGGGCTGAGGCAGGCCAATATGGCAGCTTGTAACAGGCTTCCTTATACCCACAATGCACCTGACAGCAAAGAATGCTTCTATTTGGTTGGTCCACACACTGGTACTAGAGCGGTACTGGAGTGTACCACGTTACAGTAGCAAGTGTTTTTAGGTTGGTTGATTTGTTTTGTTCTTTTGTCTTTCCTGTTGGGGGGCCGTCACAGCCTTTCCAATCCACAATAAGCTCCGCAGCTGGCAATGTGACTCGCAGCGATGATATCAGCAGCTGCCAACTCCTCTGGAGTCAGAAATTAGAAGTCTTGACTCCGATCTGGTGTCCACGTCTGATAAATATGGCTTAGTTCAGTTAGGCCTTTCTTAGTTTGTACACTGTGTTGGAGTGGGTGTGAGTGTGTTGTCTACGTTGGTAGCAAATGCTTGAGTTGTGTTTGCTTCCCCACGGCACAGGCCTGTCGGACGGCTGGGTGCGGTGCTCGGAGTCGGAGCCGCAGCTGCCCGCCTCCTCGCAGCGCAGCTTCTCGCAGAGGATGCCGGTGTACGCGGCCGGGCACAGGCAGCGCGCGTTGTTGTGGCACGTCCCTCCGTTCTGGCAGTGCAGGAGCTCATTGTCGCAGACGTTCGCTGCAGAATGGCGGGGAGGGGGTACGGGAAGAAGAAGCAGAATCAATTTAAGTTCATCTGGTACATCATGTTTTCAGCTTTAAAAAACATCTCTATCGATCTTGTTTGTGATCTCGCATTTCCCTCCTCCCTGCCACAAACGAAGCCTGTGCCTCCAATTTCCAAACAAATGCTGCCTCTGTTTTGATCATATTAGTCTTTTCTCATATAGATTTTTGCTGCAATCTTGGATATCATCATTGTCCATTTCGGGTCAGCCAATACAAAAGTAATGCAATACTCCTGGATTGGCAGTTATCATCCCTGCGTGGACCTGCGACCTGTTGTGACCTCCTGGGTTTTTAAAGGACAAATGCCTGATACAAGAATGCAGAGCTCTGAAACCAGATGAGTAGCATTTAAAATGCAGAGCAGTTTTGCTGAAAGGACCCAGCCTCTCCAAGGGGAGGGCCGCTCACCCCGCAGCTGTGCACATGCAGACAGAGCCCAAGGGAAGGAGGGGGCGTGAGGGGAGGGGACGGGAAGGTAGGTGCTCCGGGCAAGCAGCAGCCAGATGGAAAGAGGGAAGGCTTGTTTCACAGGAGTGTGAGGAAGAGCAGTCACATTTGTCCTGACAGCCTATTAGAGTTTTTATTGCCTTGTAAATACAGGAAGCAGAGCCCAAGGTTACCTTGCTTTCTGGAACTGGTAATAGATGCAATGGTGAAACCCTGATTACTAAAATTTCATTATGTTCATCAATTAATAGCATCAGTTTGAATAAATCAAGACAAGCAACAGGAGACTAAAATTCACTCACAGCCTTTATCATGTAACTTTCACCTCTGATAATTTTTATATCTTCACAATTCTGGTTAACCTCGTTAATTCCATCTCTTTATTATTTTAGGTAATCAAGGTTTCACTGATTTAGCAGAATGTTAAATAGAACCCAGGGAAATTAACACAACAACAAAGAGTAAAAGAGCCAAGAACACTTGCGAACAACAAATGCTGTTTAAGCACTTCACTTACAGACCCCGCTAGAGTAGGGGGTGGAGGTGGGGGACAGAGCAGAAAAAGTAGCTTTTTTATAAATCATAACTTTTTATTTAAAAATAATATTGTCAAATTTTGCAAATATGTCACATAATTAAACACACAGACACAGTCATGCACACATTTAACGTTACTATTAAGGGAATATTGCTTTTTAAATAACTGCCACCCTCCAAGTAGTAACTCTGTAGTAAATGTTGCTTTGTCTATTAATAGCATTCAATAATAATGTCATCTTCAGGAGAAACTTCTTACATACAAACATGTTAATGGTCTGTGTGCAAGAGAGCTGAGAAAAGATGGTGGTAGGTAGGTATCCACAGAACTAATAACAAAACACCTGCAGCAGGGGCCTGTTGGGTTGCCTTCTTCCACATTCCTTGGAGGACTTCCAAGGCAGTCAGACCTAGTCTGTAGGTATAATCTGCAAATGTACCCACATTTGCTATCTATAAATTCGGCCGTGACTGTTAAGGGCACTAAATTCTTCAGACTCAAAATACTGATATAAAAGACAATGTTCTTTTATATAGGTTCTAATTATTATACAAGCTACTGCGTATTGGATAGCTTAGAAATAATAAAAAATAGAGTCAAATTAGAGTATTTTAGGAATTATGGTTTAAAATGTGAAGATCTTTAGCTATGAAGCAAAAGCTTCAAACATTAGGTTGGCCTAATGGACAAAGCTAACAAAAGCCCTGTTTTTTTGTGGCTGTTAATTCGGAAAGCATACATAGATTTTCAGGATTTTGTTTTGCTTACACTTCAAGAAATATCTGTTTAATTGGTGCAATATGGAATAAACAGATCCTAATAACTGTTCCCACTTAAAATTAAAGATTCTCAGCATTTCTTGTTCTAGGAAGCAGATTGCTGAATGGGATATTTCCTTTCATTTGTGCACTAGAGGTAGGAAATATCTGTTCCATCAATATCGATAATTGCTTGCCTTGAATAATTGAGAAGAAATCAATAGTTAATTAAATATCATTCCCCCTTTTTTAAAAAAGCTATTTTTCTTCTACCTGGACCTGAATGTAAATCAGTTTTTGAACAGAGGTTTCTTTCTTTCTTTTTTTTTAAGAAGCTGGTGATTAAGTTAAAATTCAATATCTTTCCTACATTTAAATAATCTACTACTTGATTTTGATGGTCATAAGAAATTTAATGAATACACAAGGAACAGATGTAGCCCAGGATTAATCATTTTTTGGGTTGGGGGAATATATTTTCTGTAAGATATAAATAGAAAATATGAAATCTAGAATATATTTAATTACTTTAGAATTTACTCTAAGACATTGCATTTGGTCTCTTGGTTGTGTTTTGCCCACAAAAATTCAACAAATACAGAATTTTATAATGTGCACTATGTGCTGGAATCATATACTAGAAGCACATTTAAACCTAATTACAAATCTCATCTAATATTCACACCCCATGCTGTGTTCATGCTACTTTGCATCAAAATTGTGTTGGTTAATGAGCAAACTAGGTGGATAAAAATTAAGCTCTTCTTCAGCATATAAAACCAATCAAGAGAAGCAAAGAAACACAAAGCATGATCTCTGCTCTTAAGGAGTTCCAGTTTGATTGGTAGGCTAAAATATAGAAATGGTCCGATATTCATTTAATTAAAATGCCCTTGTTTGTTCTATCCAGCTCAACCAACGTCTGTTTTGTGTCAGGCTTGCTGCTAGAATTTATGGTTGTAACTCTAACTGCCCTAAAGGAGCTCACAGTTTGGTGGAAAATAAACACATTTATACAGAAATATTATGGTACAATATAAAAAGATTACACAGGAAGTATTTGCAAACTGCTAGTGAAACTCAAATGATGGTGCCAATAATTGCTTTGGGGGAAAATTAGGAAAGATTTTCGAAAAGACAGTGTTTGAATAAGAGTTGCACTGGCAGAGTTGGTAGAAAGAACATCATGATGGGGAAACTATGAGTAAACGGCAAGGAGAGGTGAAACACCGTGATGCTGGTTAAACAGTGGTCCTGAACCCTACACCTGCCCTTCTGATGTTGAAGCCAGAACCCTGGTGGAAGCTGTCTGCAGATTCCACCAAGAGGCACTGGAGGGAGCCAAAAAGGAAGGATGAATGAAGAACCGTCTTTGTTTCTGACTGATGGCGCTTCCTCATCGTATTGGCTCTGCAATGGATTTCATCCTTACAGCAGCATTTGGTTCCAGTGCTCAGCTTTATCCAGAACCAGCTTCATTTCACCCGCGAACGTTTCTGCCTGGCAAAAACTCTTCCCTAGTGGCCTGAGCCCCATCTCCTGTCACAGAGGTGCCAGGCAGTAGCTAGGCACTAACCCTTCTCAGAGGTGCACACTTCAGCCCCGTGAAGTCCCTTAGTCCACACTCTTAGTCCCTGAAAACCTTATCCTCTTTCCTATAATTCCTCAGCCCCAGAGTAGCAGTTGCTACTACTAGTGGTTACTGTCTCCATGTTTCCTCAGTGTACTCTTCTTATTGCTAAATTCTCAAACACCTGTTCACTCATTTCCTGCAATCAGTTTTCGCTGTTGAAAAAACCAGCAAAATTTCATTTTTTCTTTTACAAGGAGCCCACTTCAGAGAAACGTGGAAGATGAATGAAGTGAGTTAAGAATGGGCTATGGCTGTTATGCTGAATGTGCACGGGAGACCAGAATGGTAAGTGGTATCTTGGTTGTGAATGTGTTACGTACAACACTGCAGAGTTTAGATAATGGGCAATGGGAAGTTGTTAAAGATAAGTGAGCAGCGAGGCATAGAGGTTTAAAGGGAAAAGAAAGGTGAGGCTAGAACACACAAGGGTCAGGTTACAGCACCAGGATGAGGAAGGAGGGTACTGATTTAGAGAGAGATGGCTTGTGTGAATTCTAAGGCTCCTGTTTTGGGTATGTGGATGCATCACAGACTTATTAAGAAAAGGAGATAGGAGGAAGAGTTTGGTCAGGGAAAACCATGACATTTTTTTGGATCAGTTGTCTTTGAGGAGTCTGTAGGTACCACAGGTGTTTTGCTATTAGTTAGAAAAAACTACTTAATGTTTCAGGTGATGCAGATCCTGGAGATACAGATCTGGGTGGTCATTATTATGAACCTGAAGCAAAGAGGAAAGCATCATGCTGAAAGAACAGATCAAGTGCAAACGAGGACTGCAGCTAGAACACTGGAAAACAGACAGCATTTAAAACATAGATAGAGAAAGCAAGACTATGAGGATGTTGAGAAAAGATGCCAACAAACTACAGCAATCATATGAGGGCCTGAAATTAATCACAGAGGTCTCCTTCTGAGGATGACTATCTAGGAGTTACAGCCAGACTAGAAGAGTGAGAGAAAGGGGACTTGGAGTTGGACAAAGAAAATATGCAAAATAAGCACTGCATATTCTTGATTGAATCTGACCGAAAGGATTTTGGGATAATTAGAAAAAGCACTGAAAAATTGAAGAATTAGCATTTAATGTTAATGTCAGTCTAAAGAAGTGGTTCTCATATTGGATTACTTTTCCTGTCAGGGACAGCAGATGCTGTCTGGAGATAGATTTGTTGTCACCACTGGGCAGGGAGGGCCTGCTACTGGCTCCTAATGGGCTGAAGCCGGAAATGCTGCTAAACATCCTATTGTGTACAGGAAAGACAGTCCTGACCACAAATATTGCTCCTCAGTTGGTGTTAGAGGTAAAGTGATGACATTTTGGATCAAGGCGCAGCCATAGCAATGAAGATGAGCGTCTGTCCCTGATGTATTTTAGGAGGAGAGAATGAAGAAGTCTTGACAGGTATAGATCAGAGAGAAAGAGAGTTTTTAAGTGCACAGCCATGGGAATTAGAGGGGTCATAAAGACTAGGAGTGGAAATATTAGAGTAAATTTTCTTCTTGGAATAAATACAGAAAATTGGGACCTAAGTCAGGGCCCTTACCACAGCTCACAGTTGGGAGACAAGAGGAAC